AACAATAAAGGAGAGAATGGTTATCAAAGGACAATAGCGAGACGCGAGTGGAAGCAATGAATGTGATAAAGTATGTGATGCCATAACACTGAGCTTTGTCAGTTCACAAGGACATAGAACAAGAAACCATTTTTTTTTTGTTATTTGTGCGTTTGTATTTGTATATGTGTTTTTGTGTGTGTATTTGCGTGTGTTTCGGTGTTTGTGTGTGTGTGTTGTGTCGGTGTTTGTGTGTTCGATTGTGTGTGTGAATGTGTAGCCCAGTGTCTGCACAGTGCAGTTGTTGGAGGTGTTGCATAGTGTAGACTCACATTATCAGAACCCGTGGCATTCTCTCTCTCTCTCTCTCTCTCTCTCTCTCTCTCTCTCATACTATCTCTATCTATCTATCTATATATATATATATCTATCTATCTATCTATCTATCTATCTATCTATCTCTATATAGTCTATCTATCTATCTATCTCTCTTTCTCCCTCCCTCCCCCCTCCCTTTTTCTCTTCCTCTCTTTCCCCCTCCTCCTATCTCCCTCTCTCATCCTCCTCCTCTACGACATCTCACCTCCATCCTCTCTCTCCCTTCTTCCATAAATGCAACATTTTCCACACTCGAATGTTCTTTCACTTCTGACTGCAGTTTCTCCCCAATTAATGTTGTTGCTCAGTCGAGTCTCTTTGCCTGTGAGTGAAAGGGGTCTCGCTGCCTGATACCGAGGGGGCCCTTTGAACGTAACGAGAAAGGGGCCTATGCTGTGTATTATTCTAAAGGGAAACTGCCGCTCCGATACTAAGGTTTTACTACGTACCGTTCAGAAGGACGTGAGAGCTGGGGAATTTTTTAGAAGGGGCATTTTTTGTATATATTTTTTTTTTTTGTTCTTTTTTTTTTTTTTTTTTGCATGGGGTTATTCTGTGTTTAAGTTGTGTTTGGTGTAGAGGGGAAGTTCTCTTAGCTTTTTGGTTATAGGGCAACTTTAGAGATGAAATACTGGTTTGTTATTTTTCATTTCAAATTATAGGAAGTTACTCTTAGTTACTTTGCTCTAGGACAACTTTTTAGAAATACTGGTTTGTTATTTTTCATTTCCCTTGAGCCTGTATATCACCTGTGAAGTCTTCATTGCCAAAATACACGTTTTTTTTCTATCAACAACGGAAAACAAAAAAATATCTTCATTCTTCACCTCCCTCGCCACCTAACCAAGAATTACCATCACTTAATATTTAATACCCTCTACCATACCATAAATTCCAACAAGTAACTTCACCTGGCACCTGGTACCCATCATACCATATACCTCGCTAAATAACTTTACCTGGTACCTACCATGCCACAGATCTCGACACAAAACTTCACCTGGTACCCATCATACCATATACCTCGCTAAATAACTTTACTTGGTACCTGCCATGCCACAGATCTCGACACAAAACTTCACCTGGTACCCATCATACCATATACCTCGCTAAATAAACTTTACCTGGTACCTACCATGCCACAGATCTCGACACAAAACTTCACCTGGTACCCATCATACCATATACCTCGCTAAATAACTTTACCTGGTACCTACCTGCCACAGACTCGACACAAAACTTCACCTGGTACCCATCATACCATATACCTCGCTAAAATAAACTTTACCTGGTACCTACCATGCCACAGATCTCGACACAAAACTTCACCTGGTACCCATCATACCATATACCTCGCTAAATAACTTTACCTGGTACCTACCATGCCACAGATCTCGACACAAAACTTCACCTGGTACCCATCATACCATATACCTCGCTAAATAACTTTACCTGGTACCTACCATGCCACAGATCTCGACACAAAACTTCACCTGGTACCCATCATACCATATACCTCGCTAAATAACTTTACCTGGTACCTACCACGCCACAGATCTCGACACAAAACTTCACCTGGCACCTAGTACCTTTCATACCATAAACTTCACACCCAGCTCCTAGTTTCCATCATACACAGAAAAGTTATGAATGAAAATTAATATCTCCTCAAAACAAGAGATGGATCTGCCTGGTTTGGTTTATTTCTTTGTCAGAAATAGACGTATTTCGTGTATTTAACGATGATATAAATTTCTATGCTCTCTCTCTCTCTCTCTCTTCTCTCTCCTCTCTCTCTCTCTCTCTCTCTCTCTCTCTCTCTCTCTATATATATATATATATATATATATATATATATATATATATATATATATATATATATATATATATATTATATATATATATATATATATAATATATTTTTTTTTTTTTTTTTTTTTTTTTTTTTTTTTTTTTTTTTTTTGACGAATATGTTTCTATTTCTGACGGATTATATAGATCTATACTCCACCTCCTCCTCGACATCCAACTCCACCTCCTCCTCGACCTCTCCTCTCCTTCAGAGCCTTCAGGAGCAAGAGAACGCAGATCAAGGGAGCTATTACCTCATCCTTCAAGATAGCTCGTCGAAACAGCCAGAAGATGTTCGGAAGGCTGAGGTCGACCTCGGATGCCCCCGCCGTGACCTCTACGTCTTCCTACTCGAAGAAGGAGGAAGCGAGTAGGAAGGTTGGGGTGTGGTTGTTAGGTGTTGGGTTGTGGTGTTGGATGTGTGATGGGTTATGTTTGGGATGTGTGTGGTGTTGAGTTATTGTGATGTGGTGTGGTGTTGGTAGTTATGTTGGGGTGTGTGTGGTGTTTGAGTTATGTTGGTGTGATGCTGGATGTGTTTGTGAATGCTGTGTGAGTTTTGTTGGGATGTGGTCGGTATGTTGTTACGTTATGTTAGGGTGTTGTGTGGTGTTGAGCTATGCTGGGATGTGGCTGTTGGGTGATGTTATGTTATGAGTGGAAAAGAAGTGAGAGAGAGAGATGTAGGGATGTGATGTGGTGATGTTATGTGGGATGTGGTATGAGTTATGTTGGGATGTGGTGTGGTATGTTGTTACGTTATGTTCGGGGTGTAGTGTGGTGTTGAGCTGTGCTGGGATGTGATGTGGTGATGAGTTATGTTGGGATGTGGTGTTGAACTATGTTGGGATGTGGTGGTTATGTTTTATGCTATGTTTGGGTGTAGTGTGGTGTGATGCAATTTCGGGATGAGGTGAATGGTGTTGAGTTATGCTGGGAAGTGGTGTGGTGTTGAGCTATTGTTGGGATGTGGCGTTGAGCTATGCTGGCATGTAGGTGGTGTTGAGTTATGCTGGGATGTGATGTTGTTATGCTGGAAGGTGGTGTGGTGCGGTTATGCTGGGATGTGATGTGGTATATGTTATGTTGGGATGTGGTGTTATGTGTTTTAAGTTATGTTGTGATGTATTGTGATGTGTTCGGAAGGTTGGTGATACAGTGTTACGTTGTGGTATGATGTGCTGGCTATGTGTTGTTACGTTATGGTGGAGTGTGTTGTAATATGTTGCTTGTGGTTTGTTACGCTGGGATGAGTTGTTGGAAAGGTTGGTGTCGCATTATGTTGCATCGTGATATGTTGTTACTAAAGCGACTTGTCTGTTATGTGTTATGTTGGGATGTGTTATTGGGAAGGTTTGTGATCTTTTATGTTGATATGAGTTGTTATGAAGGTTGGCGAAGCATTATGTTGGGTATGTTGTGGGGAAGGCCTGTTACCTAAACCAAGGAGGTTATGTTTTTTGGTGGTTAGTTGGTTAGTTAGTTAGCAGGATAACTTCAAAAATTATGAACAGATTTTTATTATTTCTATAATATACTTAGAAACACACATCTGACAATCTCTCATTCTCACCAAAATAATAATAATAATTAAAAATCCTAACAAAATATCGGTTTATCTCAACTATCTTAATCATATAATCCCCAACATACAAGACACAACTCAAAATCCCCCCCCCCCCTTGTTCCCCAGGTGTCTACAAATTCAGTCAGTTCCTCGGGGTTGACTCACTCATCCTCGACCTCGCCATCCTCATCCTCCACCTCCACCTCGTCCTCCAAGCACCACCACCACCACCACCGCCAAGGTCATCCTCAACAGCAAATAATGGACGACCTTTTATCGTGTCCCGTGTGCTTGGAGGAATACCAGGTGGATAGTTCTGGCACTCGAGAGCCACTTTTCCTGCAGTGCCATCATAGTATCTGCCGCGTGTGCCTGCCGAGGCTTGTCAAGTCGTACTCGGGACAGAGCAGGTTTTCCAGTAAAGATAGTGTAAGTTTCTGTTTTTATCTTGTGTTTATTTATTTAATATTTTTCTATTTTATTATTTTTATTATATTTTTATATTATTATTATTATTATTATTATTATTATTATTATTATCATTATTATTGTTCTTTGCTCTTATATTTTCGTTTCTGTGATTTCTTTATTTACTGATGTTGTTTATTTACTTTGTTTATTTATTTTTTGAATCTCTGATATATCTGTTTCTGTATCTTTATTCTGGTTGTACTTATATTAATAGAAATTTTATTAATGTTGGTGAACTAATTTCTCTCCACGTCTTCCATATTGCTACAAAATAATTCTTTAAAGTTCACAACTCTTTTAACAAAAAACAGAGCACTCTCACCCTTATTCACATCCAACAGAAAAGCAATAACATACCTTCCAACGAACATTTCCATCACATTCTAACCCGTCTCTCATGCCTTCCAGTACCTATGCCACCATGAATGCCATATCAGCTGATTTCCCTTGTTAATCGGTCTTTCTCGTGTCATTAAGGCTGAACTCCCATGCCCAGAGTGCCGCATGGTGACCGTAGTGCCCCCTGGTGGTCTCACGCAGAACTTTTACCTCGTGAGTCTGATTGAAACGCGGAGGAAGAAGATCAAAGAACAAGAGAGGTGAGAGAGGGGAAGAGAGAGAGAGAGAGAGAGGGAGAGGAGGGAGAGGGAGGGAGAGAAGGGAGAGATGGAGAGGGAAATAGAGGGAGAGGGAGGGGAGATGGAGAGAGAGGGAGAAGGGGGGAGAGAGGGGGAGAGAGAGAGAGAGAAGAGAGAGAGAGAGAGAGAGAGAGAGAGAGAGAGAGAGAGAGGAGAGAGAGAGAGAGAGAGAGAGAGAGAGAGAGAGAGAGAGAGAGAGATGAGGGAGAGGAGAGGAAGGGGGGAGAGGGAGAGGGAGAGGGGAGAAGAGAGAGGAGAGGGAAGAGGGAGAGAGAGGAGAGAGAGAGAGAGAGAGAGAGAGAGAGAGAGAGAGAAGAGAGAGAAGAGGAAAGAGAGAGAGAGAGAGAGAGCGAGAAACGAGAGAGAGAAGAAGAGAGAGATGAGCAGGGAGGAGAGGCGAAGAGAGGAGAAGGGAGAGGAGGAGAGAAGGAGAAGGAGCGGGAGGATCGGAAGAGGGGGAGGAGGAAACGAGCATGAGACGAGGGGGATGAGTAGATAGTGCGAGGGAGAAGAGGAGAGAGGAGGAGAGAGAGTCGGGGGGAGAGGGAGAGGGAAGAGAGAGGAGGAGACGAGAGAGGAAGAGAGAGAGAAGACACGGAGAGGAGAGAGAGGGGAGAGGAGAGAGAGAGAGAGAGAGAAAAGAAATAGAAGAGAGAGAGAGAGAGAGCGGAGAGGGGAGAAGGGAGAGGAGGGAGAGCGGAGAGGGAGAGGCGAGGAATTGAGGAGAAGGGAGAGGGAAGAGAGAGAGAGAGACGATGAGAAGAGAGAGGAGAGAGAGAGAGAAGAGAGAGAGATAGAGAGAGAGAGAGAGAGAGAGAGAGAGCAACCGAGCAGAGAAAGAGAGAGAGAGAGAGAGAGGCGGGGGACTCGATCAGAGGGAATAGAGGGATAGGGAGAGCGGGTTTGGGAGAGCGAGAGGGGGAGGGCGAGGGAAAGACGCTGAACAGAGAGGGAGAGATAGATAGATAGATAGCGTAGATAGAGATAGATCATATAGCAGCATAGATAGATAGATAGATAGATAGCAAATAGATAGATAATAGATATATTTAGAGAGAGAGATAGAGAGAGAGAGAGATAGAGAGAGATAGACTAGAGAGAGAGAGAGACGAATCTAGCATTAGAATTTCTAAACTGTCAGCCATTTGTTTCTTGAACAAAGACTTCATAAGAGCATTAAAAGAATTCTTATTTCCAGAAACGGCGTAAATATAAAATTCAAACATTCCAAATATAAACTTCTCCACATCATCTTAGATTAATTTAAGAACATATCACTTCTACCCACAAGCAAACTTCTATACACTACATAACCACACACAAGACGAATCCTCAGACCCACCACATAACACACACGAATCTACCCAACCTCCATCCACATACACCCAGCATATTACCCACATAACCATACAAAATTACTCAGCCTCAACCACACACCTAACTTCTACCCACACAACCACACGAAGTTGCTTAACCTTATCCACATACACCCAGATTCACACACAACCACACGAAACTACACAACTTCATCCACACACACACACAACCATCTACCCACACAACCACACGGAACTGCACAACCTCCACATACACCCCCCCCTCCACATCCACACACACCCAACCCCTACCCACACCACAACCTCACATACCCCCCCTCCCTCCACATACACACACCCAACCCCTACCACACAACACAACATCATCCTACCCCAACAACAACCCCACTCACAACCACACGAAACCCGCACACCCACAGCGAAACCTCCTCCACAACCACCCAACTCATCCACTCACCTCTCTCTCTCAGTCGTCTGCGGGATGTGGTGTCGAGAGTGTGACAGCGTAGCTCTCGAGAGTTGCTCCAACCACCAGGTCGTCCATCTCTCGACGATTTTGGCGAATACAGTCGAGTCATATTGTAACAACAGGAAACACCTGACGACGGTCCTGCAGGTGAGTTCGTGTGTTATACTTGTTGGTTTGTGTTATTGATGTATTTATGTACGTGTGTGTGTGTTTCAAATATGAATAAATAAATAAATAAATAAATAAAATAATAAATAAATAAATAAATAAATAAATATAATATATATATATATATATATATATATATATATATATATATACATACATACATACATATATATATATATATATATATTATATATATATATATATATATATATATATATATATAATATATAACATATATGTACCTAAGATATACATGCATAGACAACAGACAGACATTTCACGCACACACAACACCACACACAGCACAGCACACATGCATATTATATATTATATATATATATTACTATACTTATATATTATATATAATCATATTATATATATATATATATATATATATATATATATATATATATATACATATATATATTATATATATATATATATATATAATGATTGGCGATAGTAATAGTAACCATGATCATTCTCGTCATTATCATTGTCCTCCTCCTCCCCCTCCTCTTCCTCCTCCTCCTTCTCCTCCTTATCTTCCTTTTCCTCCTCCTTCTCCACCTCCTTTTCCTTTTCCTCCTCTTTATCATAATCATCATCATCTATCGTTATCGCCCTCGACATTATCAGCATAATGATGACAATTGATAATGATAAGGAAGATGGATGATAATAATAATAATAATAATGTTACTGATAATAATGAAAATGATAGTAATGACAATACTATTAGAAATGATGACATATATGATAATGATAGTGATACTAAAAGATAATGATAATAATACTAATTAATATTAACGAATAATAGTGAAGATAATATGAATAAGTAATAATAACGATAATGCTAACAATAACAATACAATTAGTAATAGCGAGCATAACAATACTACTACCATAGTAATAATAATAGTAATAATAGTAATAATAATAATAATAATAGTAAATAATGATAATAATAATAATAATAATAATAATAATAATAATAACAATAATAATAATAATAATAATAATAATAATAATAATAAATAATAATAATAATAATAATAATAATAATAATAACAAACACCTGAACTACCGATTGACTCGAGTTTACCGCTCCCCCCTCCGCCCCCACGCCCCCCCCTTCAGAACCGCGCCGAGAAGAAGGGCAAGGAGGCCCAGGAGGTGCAGGAGGCGGTGGAGCAGCTGGACCGCGCCGCAGCTGTCCTGAGGAGGAAGCTGGTGGCGAGGCTGGACCTGGCGACGCTCTCCCAGGCCACGGCGAACTCCCTTCTGCAGGAGGTGGGTCGGGGGAGAGGGAGAGGGAGGGGGGAAGGGGTGGAAGGGAGAGGGAGGGGGTGGAGGAGGAATGGAGGGTGGGGAGAGGGGGGTGGAGGAGGAATGGAGGTGGAAATGGAGGGGGAAGGGGAAGAGGATGGGAAAGAAAGTGGGAAGGAGAGGTAAGAGAGGGAAAGAGGAGAGAGAGAGAGAGAGAGAGAGAGAGAGAGAGAGAGAGAGAGAGAGAGAGAAGTGAGAGAAGAGAGAAAGAGAAGAGGAGAGAGAGAAAGATGAAGAAAGAGAGGAGAGAGAGAATGAGATTAACAGGAATGTTTAGAGAAAAAATAAATAGAACAAGGGGGATGATAAGAGGAATGAATCCAAATGGAAGAAAGAATAAAAAAGTAAATTAAACAACGAAGAGACATTTAAGTGACAAGGTCCAGAGTGGCGAAGGAAAATAAATGAAAAAGAAGTACCTGAAAAAAAAATCATCTCACCAATATAGATAAATGATTAAAAAAGAAAACGAAAAAAAACTTTAGTTTAATCACGAAAGAAAGATAAAGAAAAAAATAATTTACTTAATCAGCACAGATAAATACCCCATAAAAAGAAAAGAAGAAAAAAAAATCTCTTTAACATAAATAAATAACAAAACAAAAAGGAAACGAAGAAAAAAAAAGTAATTTCAACATAAATAAAAAAAAAAGCGAAAAGAAAATAACTAAAAAAAAAACCAAGAAACAGAAAATATAACAACAAGAACAAAACAAGGAGAAAAAAAAAAAAACACTAAAACAATCCCATATCAACAACAAAAAAAAGAGCCAAAAAAAAAAAGTCAACAACCTTCACGCCAAAACACAGAGAAGGAATCCCGAGTGACGCAATCTCATCCCATTACAACAATTTACTCCCGACGTCATACTCCGATTGGCGATAAGTTGACCTCATATTTGCGG